TTAGATAGCCAGAGGGACAATGGAGTGGAGGTGATGATCCTCCACCACTTGAGGCCCTCTTATAGTTGTTAGTGCTATTTTCCTTTCAATTCAGCTAAGGTATCAATCTCAAGTGGATATATATGATTTAAAATTGAAATTCACAAAATCTCAGCTCATCTTCTTCTTTGCATGGGCGACTTCTCAGCGTCAGAGCATTATTTCCATCGCTTGCACAACTGGAGCCAGGGATGGGGAATTGGGCTCTACAATAGTTTTCAATCCTTGTCGTTGAAATCATTTGAAGTCCCGAAATCCTAGCTAGCCGATCACGCTATGCATGTTAATTTCCATTACTCCTCTTCAACTGGGTTTTGGGACGGACTGGTATTCTTCATGTGGCTTTAATCATGTAATGCTTCTTTTTTTTTTTTTTTCAATTTTCGGGTTTCAGTTTTATATCAGTTTTCCTCGTTCCCTTGGCTAATTTCTGCTTTTCGATGGCAAATGGCAACCAAATGAAATCTAATCGACAGCGCCTATGACTATGAGGGTTTCGATTTCGCCTTCTCTTCCCCCTCCTTTCAAGCTGCTCTGGCGGAAGAAGAGTCTGCAATCTCCATGCGTTAATATTTTAGTTTAACCACATGACATCTCTTCTCTTTCTTCCCGCCAACCCCGAGTTCCCATTATTTCTTTCACTCTTGGTCTTCCGTCTTCCCTTTGTGATTCAAAGGGCGAAGAAGGTGAGTATAATTGGGGTGATTTCTCCACCACTTGGGAAAGAAATTTCTGATTAGCTTGAGTTTTGTTGACATATTTTCTACCTTCCTTTTTGTTTCGGTTGGATTAGCAGTCACACAAAATGCAATTATACTTTCTTCTTATCTCTTTTTAATGGTTACAATTCTTAGCATGTGGGAATACATAGCACAAGAGAAGGTTTTCAATTTTCATGCTTGCCTCTGTTTTTGAATAGCATGTGGGAATACATAGACAATTGTTATTATGTTCCATGTAGCACATCCCGTGGTCGGCAACTGATTATAAACATCCGGCCCACTCCGATTTGTGACTAAATGCTTCTTCAGTTCACCTTCTCTTCTCTTCTTCATGACCCCATAGGGTAAGTTCCTCCGATGTTTGGCCAACCGCCAGGGTCTTCCCAGGAATTACGCTATAAAGGGCCACAGGGAATTAAACCGTTCAATAATCCGGTGATGAACAGTGTTTCCCGACGAAAGTGCCATTATTTTCGGTAAAAGTGTGTCTTACGGCGCCGTAGGGGTTAAGAGTTTCCGATTAAAGAGTGGTTACAGCTATTTTGTCGTAATGAACAGTAACTTTATTGTTTTGGTAATTCTGATAACTTGTGTTTTAATAATTCTAATAATACTCCATAATGGATTTGTTACGGTATTACCATGATCCACCCTCATAAACCCAATCACAATTGGTTGCCGTCTGAAACGGAAAGAGCACAGGTCCGTACGTGTTGTTAATTCCTTGCAATCGATATTTAGACTCCGATATTAGAAGATCTAACACAAAAACGGCAGATTCCATTTGAACATAATTAATTCGCTTACTTACTAAATTGCACCAACAAAGTGTGCTTAAGAACGGGGATCGTCGTAAACTGACTACAAATCACAGCACTTCAAATGAGAAAATTATCCAAATGAAAAGGCCATACAGAGGGCCGGTAGGGATATTTCAGGCGACAAGGGAAATGCAAACCAAAGGTGAAAGTCTCTACGATCTCAACCCTTAAAGCTTCTCTTCACGACTCTATAACTTCTCTTCCTTTTCTAGCCATCAAACTACAGTTTGCCATCCGAGCATTCCACATACGAGAGTGAGAACTGAGAATACATTCTGGTATGTACTTCAGAAACCATGTTCTCTCTCCAAAGCCAGAAATTGCAAAATTCTTAATCAGAAACTCATACCGGCAACACCTTTTTCCATTACTATCAAACAATTAGGCCGAGCAGCACCCAACTTTCTTGACGGCGGATACATCATCCTTTCCCACACTAATGGTCTGTCCCTTGGGCAAGGCTGCTGGGTCATCCCCAACATCAAGTGCCTTCCTGCTGACAACCCGGTAAATTTGAGTCAGCACCTCAGTGAATGCATTCTCGACATTCAAGGACTCCAGTGCAGATGTCTCCATGAAAAATGTGTTCTCTCTCTCGGCAAATGCTTTGGCGTCCTCAGTTTGAACAGCACGAAGGTGTCTCAGATCCGCTTTGTTCCCGACAAGCATGATCACAATGTTTGCATCTGTGTGATCCCTGAGCTCCTTCAACCACCTCTCCACATTTTCAAAAGTAACATGCCGGGTGACATCATAGACAAGCAATGCACCTACTGCACCTCTGTAGTATGCACTGGTGATTGCCCGGTATCTGCCAGCAGCAAAGCTTTTTAATCAGGACCCGACTTGAAGGCTCATTACAGCAAAACATAAGAACTACATCTACTAAGGAAACAGAAGTGGCAAAGAGATGCTGAAGCCAGAACTTAAACAAATGGCATATAGAGGTAAGAAGGAAAGCTCAATAAAAGTAGGAAGAACAAACAGTACTTGTATGGAGTTATCAGAAACTGACAAGATTACAAACTAAAAAACATGCATCCGAAACAGGGGTAATATCAGCTTATCTTTTGATGCCTCAGTTTATACAAGCATGAAAAAACAGTAAAATCAAGGAGTTCGTACAGACTAATCAATTAGTGTTGCGCTAGAGAGACAACTTTGCAAACTCTTTACCGAGCACACATGACAGATGTGCAGACAAAGATTCACAATTTCGAATATAAGATGTAATACATCTTGCAATTGATGTTTCTGACTGAGAATCAAGCAAACTAAACTAGTCTGACAGCCTAGATCACGCCCATACTTGAGCCGAAGATATTACAAAAGGTGCAGGTGCAGAGGGTATATATCATCTATCCAGGATTAGATACAACATGAAGGCTAAAAGGGAACAACACTGATCAATGAATAGGCAACCACAATAGGAGTTCTTGCCTTGTGCTCAAATCAATTGATAACACGAAAACAACAATATATTTTTCGTGTAAGCTGCCTGAAGGTCAAAGGAAAAACATAGCATAGTATCTAACGTAGTGCTTTACTGCTTTGCATCAGCAAATGTGCATAGCTAGCTAGCCATTATCTCTTACAAAAGAAACTGGTACTTAGACATGACAAATTAAAATATATCTCTATCAATGCACTTTAAAATTAAAATTCAGGAAGAACTGGCAATGAGGTTTCCATCTTCTTCCATTGCCACAAGTGCCCTATGATAATAGAAAAGAAATCTTTGACAGTTCCCACAGTTCCATTGTAAAGTAAAGTATTACAATGCATTTTCGTTGGTAGAATACAGAATACTATTGGCATACTAATGATCCAGTTTTCTAGTAACCATTCCGAAGCTTCAACACAGTTCGAAAAGAAACAGCAAAAATCAGTCTTTACATTTCTAAGATTAGATCCCCAAGCCCCTTATGAAGCAAGATCCTTATAACAGTAACCATGCACCAAAACTTTCCATACGAAGCAAGTCCCAACTTTAGCATGAAACATGCTTCATATACAGTATTTAATTCTATAATTACCATTAGTTGAACATGTTAACTCTAAAATCCACCCTACAAACAGAGACGACATTGCAAAGAAAATCTGGTGACGTACGTGACAACTCAAATTAACAGTTCAAGGTCAAAGTGAAACACAACATAATAAGTATGAAAAAGAACCAAACTGAAGGTGCACCAAAACTCTACAGGCTCAAGAATGAAGAGAAGCAGTTGAAACAGCTTGATGACCACATCATAAATATCATACTCGGTATAAAACATCATCCTAAACCCACAAACCTCAAGAACATTCACTCCACAAGAGGTAAAAATGAAGAGCAAATGAACCCTAATAATCTTAAACCTTCCCAAATCCCGAAAGAAACAGCAGACGCAAAAGGGAAAGAAAAAATCATGAAGCGACGAGCCGTAAAAAAACAATCAGAGGGCGGAGGCGGGTAATCGTTAAGCGTTTTCAAGGCATAGATCTACCTACGTGAAGGAAATGTGAGAGCTACGGTAGCAAATTAAACCCAGAACGCAAGAAATTTTCAAGATCCGAAAGCGCAATTACCTTTCTTGGCCAGCAGTGTCCCAGATCTGGGCCTTGACGACCTTGTCATCGACGTGGATGCTGCGAGTCGCAAATTCGACGCCAATCGTGGATTTGGATTCGAGGCTGAACTCGTTCCTGGTAAATCTGGACAAGAGATTAGATTTGCCGACGCCGGAGTCGCCTATCAACACGACCTTGAACAAGTAATCATAATCGTCGTCGGCCCTGTATGCCCCCATTGTCTTTCTCCTAGTTTACTGGAATGGAATGATTAGGAAAACCAATGATCGATCCAGACCAGCAGTCTGTAATTCCCCAGAATTTTTCTATATCGCCAATCCAAATCTCTCGCGAAATGCGAGATCTATTGAAGGTAGAACTTGGAAGACTAGAACGACTAGGGGAATGTGATATGTGGATCTGACTTTCGTACTGTATAGGAAAGGAAAGGATTGAATCGAATGGGAGAGTTTCGAATTTTAAATGGTTTGACGTTAATTTAACAAGAGAGAGAGCGGCGCTTGTAATTTCGTAAAGAGAGTGGCTGTGTGCTGAAGATTTCCCAGGAAAGGATAACACAGCAAGGTTGTTAAATCGTGAGCCGGCCGGTCTGTTGGACCTGGTCTGACCGGAACTGGCCTCACAAGTCACAATCATTGTTGTCAAACTGGTTTATATCGGTGGGCCGGTTTGCAGGTAGAAGGGTACGGCCGGTGGTATAATTGGTCTACGTCGGTTCATGCTGGTATAAAAAAATATATATAATTGTGAAAATCATTAACATTCGATAAATTTAATCATATAAAACATATTTGACGACAATTTTTTTTTTTTTTTTTACTGGTAACCTGTGAGATGTATTAAATTAAGTAAAACCGGTTACATCATCCAGCAGCAGCTGGTCAACAAGGAAAATCGGTGGTCTATCGATCCACACTTCTCTACATTCCCAATGGGTCTCACTATGAGCCATGATGTGCGCAGCATTATTCGCAGTACGGCGTACGTGTTCAATGCTTGCCTTGCTCGAACCAGACGCTTGCAAGAGCTCCACAATGCGCCTGCAGATGATGCCTGTCTCAGTGTAATCCTCTTCTCCTCCTCTAATCCTCTCTACCAGGGGTAAACAGTCCATCTCTAGAATAGGCTGTGGAAAGCCAAGCTGGTGCGCTAACTGCATCCCGAACTCTGCTGCCAGAGCTTCCGCCAGCTCCACTCCAAAGGTACCACGCATCTTCTTCGCCGCCGCCGCCAGGAAACGGCCCTGGTGGTCACGAAACACCGCCCCCAGCCCAATCCCGCCGTTCGCAAACACCCCGGCATCTGTGTTGACTTTAACTCTTCCTTCAGCAGGCCTCACCCATGCTGCGTCCCCCGATTGACCATCGCTCAGAGTCTCCGGTCCTTGATTCTTCTGGTAGTCATTTAGTATAGACAAAGCTCGCTGGACAATTTCATCTTCAGGCCACTTTGCACCATTAAACAGCTGTGCATTACGTTCTTTCCACAGAGCCCACATGATCATTACTCACTTCTCGACCGTGCTCGTATCCTCTTGCTGTGTCACCTTCACAAACCACTCTAGGCTGTCCGCCACCCCATTTACCTCGAGAGCTCGTTCCCATTCGGTGCTACGCCATACTCGAGAGCTCCAGCTGCATTCAAAGAAGGTGTGCCGCTGGGATTCAACCTGATTGCAGAAGGGGCATTCATTTGTCCGTCTCTGGTCCTTGGCCGCCACCCTCTCCCCCGTGGCCAGAATTTCGCGAATAAATCGCCAAGCAAAATGTCGAACCTTTGGCGGGACCTTCATCGTCCACACAAACTTCCACAACTTCTCGTCCCCCCTAGGAATAATGCCCTCCGCCGCCATAAACTCCGCCAGCCACCTCCTATACCCACTCTTAACTGAGTACTGCCCATTCTCAGTGAACCTCCAAATGAGGCGGTCGCATTCCTCTGGACCCCGGAGGGGAATTGACAAGACCGTCTGGGCAATTGGTGGAGGGAAGCACTGGTTGACTAGCTCCACATCCCACATTTCCGTTTCCGGTTCTACTAGATCTCGCACTGTAGCATCGACCGGGAGGGCGGTCGGTGCTGACTCAACAAAAGCAGTCTCGCCCGGAAGCCACTGGTCGCCCCAAATTTTTACTTGCTCCCCATTGCCAACCCTCCATCGAAGTCCATTACATAGAAACTCTTGAGCGCTTAACAAGCTTCTCCAGATGTAGCTTGGCTTGCTTCCCAGGCGAGCATCAAGAATGGAGCAATTACTGTGGTACTTCGCCTTCATGATCTTGGAAATGAGCGCGTCTGGGCGAGAATGAAGAGCCCAAAGTTGTTTAGCTAGGAGCGCCACGTTGAAACCCCGAAGATCTCTAAATCCCATCCCACCATCCTCCTTCAGCGTCACCAGTTCTTCACGCCTGATCCAATGAGCCCTTTTCTCTTTATTCTTCTGACCCCACCAGAAATTAGTAATCAAACTGTGCACCTCATCTATAGTCCCTTCCGGGACCTTAAACACCGACATCGCATAAGTGAGCTGAGCTTGAGCCACTGATTTGATGAGTATTTCGCGCGCAGCTACGGACATTGTCCTTTCCTTCCACCCTTTCAACTTCGACCTCACCCGCTCCTTGAGACCCGCAAAAAGATCCTTCTTAGCTCGGCCCACCTCCGTGAACAGACCGAGATATTTTTGGTGCTTCTCCACTGGCTTCATCTCCAGAGTGCCGCTCGTGATCAGCCTGCCATGCGGTTTGACATTTGCTGAGAAAGACACCTCCGACTTCAGGAAGTTAACCATCTGCCCAGACTCCCGTTCATAGGCCTGTAGGATCTCCTTTAGCACCAGACATTCATTTTGATTAGCCCTGCCAAAAAAGATACTATCGTCAGCGAAAAACAAGTGGGTAATCACCGGGGCACCCCGCTTCACTTGCAACCCATGCAGCCTATTCTCATCAACCGCTTTGGCTGTATAGGTTGACAACCCCTCTGCACAAAGCAGGAAAAGGTACGGTGAAAGCGGGTCACCCTGCCGAATCCCTCTGCCCGGAGTGAAGGTTTGGGACTGATGGCCATTCACCAGGACAGAGTAGGAGACGGATGTCACTCCCATCATAATCAGCTGTATCCACCGATCAGCAAACCCCATGCGCTTCATTACTCCCTCCAGGAAGTGCCACTCTACTCGATCATAAGCCTTGGCCATATCGATTTTTGCTGCAAAGTAACCATGCTTCCAGCGTTTGCTATTCTTCATAGTATGAAAACATTCGAATGCCGCCATAATATTGTCCGTGATGAACCGCCCTGGAATAAAAGCACTCTGCGAGGGCGAAATTATCTTGTCCAGTAAAGGCTTGAGGCGATTAGCGAGAACCTTTGACACTATCTTGTACAGCACGTTGCACAGGCTGATCGGCCTGTAGTCCTTCGGGGTAGCAGGTTGCTTAACCTTTGGGATAAGCGCTATCAACGTATGATTCAGCCCTGCAGGCAAAACACCCGTTTCGAGAATCTGGATGACTGCTCGTGTCACCTCCTCCCCGACAATATTCCAGTATTTCCGGAAGAAGAACACGGATAAACCATCTGCGCCCGGGGCCTTGCGCTTCCCCATTTGCTTCAGTGCACCCCAGACTTCCTCCTTCTCAAAAGGTCTCAGCAGCATAGCGTTCTCGTCCTCTCCAACCACTCTTTTTATAGAATCAAGAACCGGCCAGGAAGAAGGTGTGGGGCCTGCCGTGAAGAGAGACTCATAGTAGTCAACCATGCACATTGAGACCTCCTCCTGTCCCGTATACCAGCGCCCAGTCTCATCTCGTATTTTCTTTATCATGTTTCTTTTGCGTCGAGCAGAAGCTTTCCGGTGAAAAATATCAGTATTCTTATCCCCTCCCCGAAGCCAATCCGCACAAGATCTCTGTTTCCAGTATTTCTCTTCACTGTCAAGGACATCAGCAAGTTCATCGTCCAACGTCCGGAGTTGAGCCAGCACCTCCTCATTCTTTCTTCTTCTTTCAAGGGCTCGAATGGCCTTCTCAATTCTCTTCTTCTGTTTTGCGAACGCCGGGAACGTTCGTTGACTCCAGCTGTCTAGTTCTTGCCGACATGAGGCGAATTTGGCTAGAACATCGGCAGAAGGGGAACTGCACCAGGCTCGTTCAACAATCACTTCACAGTCCTCGTGCTTCGTCCACACCGGGTCGAACCTGAACGTCCAACCCCATTTGACTTCCGCATCATCTTCCCCTCTCGTCTCGCAGATGATAGGGCGGTGGTCGGAGTGTACCCGATCCCCATGCTGCACTCTTCCGGCCGGGAAAAGGATTCCCCATTTCTCGTTCGCGACGAACCTGTCCAATCGTTCTTCAATGAAGCCCCCCCGAATCCGTCTATTCTCCCAAGTGTAGGGATATCCACTAAAACCCAAGTCCTGGCAGCCCACCTCATTCAAACAGTCACTGAACTCAGTCATTGCCAACTCCTGCACTCCACGTCCTCCACTCTTTTCTGCCGAGGATACCACCTGATTAAAATCTCCGCCGCATAGCCAAGGACCATCCCATTGCTCGCTGAGACCACGTAACAGGTCCCATGTTCTCCACTTATCGTTTCCTTCAGGCCACCCGTAAATGCCCGTAAACCGCCACTTACCAGCAACTTCTTCTTCCACTGCTACATCAATGAAATGAAAGTCTAAATCCATCACACTGATTTGCACATCTTCGTTCCACCACAAGCTAAGCCCCCCCGCCCGACTTCGTAATGAGATGTTAGCCGGGAAGCTTCTACCATACTTATATCCACACAGAGCTCGAAGCTCTTCATTTTCTGCAACAGTTTGTTTTGTCTCCATTAAGAAAACCACATCTGGGGAGGATCGGCGCAGGAGCGCTTTGAGAGAACTAACTGACCGCGTATTCCCCAACCCGCGGCAGTTATGGCTCAAAAGTTTCATTTATTAACAGAAGGGGATAGGCTCCCCGCGCCCTGTGCTTTGGCAGTAATCTTCGATCCATTCCCCTGTTGTTTTGCAATGTCCTTCTGGACCGGTGGCTTCTTGGTTTGTGTTTGCTTACCCATCTTATCCACATCACGGATTTGCCCCCCCCCCCTTGCGAGCTGGCTCAGCTGGCTTCCCTTGCATTCCGGCTGATATTTGCTTGTGTTGTGTTTGTTTCGCAGCCGTGATTGAGGTAGAGGGGTCAGCAATATTCGGCGCAGTATTCAGTGCTTCTTCCTGCATAGGAACTGTGTGACTGTCATCCATTGATCCAGGCTTTACTGCCACTTTCTCTACAGGTTCCCTTGCGGCAGTTGTTGTGTCCCGACTCTCGTTCGAAGGCTCGAGCTGCTCCCCATTAGGTTCATCCGATAGGATGGAGAAACGCGACCCCCGCTCCTTTCCTGTCTCCTGAAGGTGCTCAGCTCGTTCAACCTCGACTACCCTTTCTGTGCGGGCTTTTGCAAAGCCCTTCCCACGGGGCTTCACCACCATCCACTCACCATAGTTTCCTTCCGCCGCTGTGTCACTAGTCTCCTGGGTAGTAGGAGCTACCGATTCCTGTTCCTTGAACAGTAACGGGCATGTTGCTTTCGAGTGTCCATATTTCCCGCATTCGGGACATATGCGATGGAGGCCCTCGTACTCCACATAGTAAGTGATCCCTTCAATTTTAAATTTTGATAACAACGGTTTGGTCAAGTCCACCTCAACACTTACTCGAGCATATCGTCCTCGGTCGCCCGTTTCAGTAGCTCGATCGACCCGGATAGGTTTCCCAATTTTTCCAGCAATCCGCTCCACTGCATCTTTGTTGATGAACTCCCGCGGTAGGTCAGGCAAACGAGCCCAGACCATGGTTGATGCCACTTCAGCCATTCTTGGGTTAAAATTTTTCCGCCATGGCCGGACGGTGATGTAGAAATCACCTATCATCCAGGGCCCCCCCGCTGCTGCATGTTCGTAATCTATCTGACTAAGGAAACGAACGGCGTAGAAACCAAACGAGAGGCTTGAGACTTGGATCGTTCCATGCTTAGCCCATAGTGTTTCCAACCTCCTAGAGATCACTGGGAACGGAAAGGTTCTTCCTAGCACCTTCACAATGAGCGCCGAGC